TGTCCGAGAGGGGCTTGGAATGGAAATTAAGTTATCCAGTATGGAAAATGCTTAGCACTGCTTCGCGGTTACTCAAGAGCAACGAACTTAAGCAGCAGACTGCAAATGTTTTTTGCTGCAGGAAAATGTTCATTTGATTTTTCAGCTGAGAACGAAAAGCTCCTCTGAAGAGTACTCAGCAAATGTAATTTTTGCAGCAGATCACAAGCAGTGTTCAACACTTAGGATAACTTCTTATTCTCTCCAGTATTTTAAAAAATAAATGTTTAGCAGCACTCTTTAGCAGTATTAGTGATAATAAGTAGTAGTAAGGAGCAGCTGTAGTAAGTTAGCAAAAATCAACGTATTCATCGCTGCATTGTCGCAAACGTGTTCGACGTTATCACCACCAGCGTCACTTGGAACAGTTTCTTCGCGTCGAAATACCGTATTATCACCAACTAGGGTGCCAATTGGTTCACAAGCCTGTTCGTTTATTTCCCACAAATTACAGTACCAGAAATTCATACAACTGAAGACTGACTCGGCAGTAATCTGCATTCTTCATAAATTTTGCGAAGTAATAAAATAAACAAAATTAGGAAATGCAGCGACGCACTGCTTCTCATTAGTTGAAGCCATTTCAGTGTTACAGGATTGTTAGCTACTGTTATTGGCACCCCTGCATGGCGAATTATCGAGTTCTTCCAACTGAAATTACTTCTGTCGTGGCTTGGAGGAAATGGGAGGATGAAATAACACAAAAAACTAATTTGAAAATGCTTTATCTATTGCTAATCCACCTCAGCTCCCGAACAGTTAATCTTGGACCCCAAAGGATCAGGTACTTAATACTTTTCTAATTCCTCCTTTTACGCAAGAAAAGAAAAGGTAAAAAGGGTGGTTTGGGAAAGAGCATATTAGTAAGTTTTGCCTATGTCTTCCTTTCTTTTCCCTTCATTTCTCTTCCTTTTTCTTAATCCAACTTAAGGTCCCTTTATTTTAGGAAAGATAATAAAATTTGAAAATGTTGGCACATTTTCACTTTATTATTGCCAT